CTAATTTTTTTTTTTTTAATATAACCATAATTACTTTGAAAAAAAAAGAAAAAAATTAACTACCTATACGAAATGGTGTGATTCTTGCAGTTCTATTGAATGAGATTACATGAAAAATAATACTTAGCCGAGACTTTTCACGCCTTCTTCAATTTCCCGGCTTTCCGTAGAGAATCTTTCTCGTTGCATTCTTGTAGGGTCCATCCTTTCCACTTGCTCCAACCATCGCAATCTGTTGAGTGGTGACATAACAATGTCATGTTCCCCATATAGCTCTAGTTTAGACTTAATTCTCCATTGTGCTTTCACTTTTGATTGGCTCAATTTTCCAGTGTATTTTTCTTTCCCATACATGGAGAATCTTTTGGCTATCTTTAGTTATGGATTATGTCACATGTCTCAGTATTGTGTTATTTATAATACAGTTTTTGTCTTTCTTGACATATTTTGGCAATTCAGCGGCTTCTGTACAATGTACAGACACCGATTTCCTGCAGCTATACGGGCTTTAATATAATTTTCTACTTGGTTCTTGTAGGTGATCGTGCTACGGAGGTACTTACATTCGTCACAGCTCTTGAATCTTCAATTCCCTATTCCTTTTTCCTCTCCTACCTGGTCTGTTCTTTAGGTCCGCATGTATATATTCTTTCCTGTATTAATTTCTACATCTAGTTCTCCAGCTTCTCTGAGAAATACTTCCAGAGCGTCTGAAAGTGCTTTTGTAGTCCGTGCTGCTATGAGAACATCGTCTGCATACGCTGAATGTTGTCATGCGATTGTAAATTGTACCTCCGCCTTCCTTTTTTATTTTCCTTATGCCTCCTTTCAATACCAGGTTAAAAAGCACCACTAGCGGATCCAGGATTTAATTTTGGGGAGGGCTTCAGCCCGAAACCTTTTTTTTTTTTTTTTTATAAAAATAACGATAAATAAAAAATAACTACTTTGGAAAAAATGAAAGAAACTAACTACCTATATAAAATAATGTTTAAGTGATTCCTAAAGCCCTTTAATTTAAATATAATTACACGTACAATAATACTTTAAGAGATAATTTTTTTCGATAAAACATGGTTATATTTTAACATTATGGGGGAGGAGGCTTCAGCCGGAAAGTCCCCCTCCTAAATCCGCCCGTGCAAAGCACTATAGATAGTGGATCTCCTTCTAAGAGCTCTTCCAATTATGAATTTTTGTGAAAGTTTCCTATTTAAAAGTACTCTACTGCACTAACGGATCCAGGATTTAATTTTTTTTTGGGAGGGGAAGGGGGTGCTTCAGCTGGAAAGATTTTGTTTTTTATGTATATATTAGGATAATAACTTCTGAAAAAAGAAAGAAACTAACTACCTATATGAAATGGTTTTTAAGTGATTCTTGAAGTCCCATTAAATGTAATTAGATGAACAATAATACTTTAAGAGATTTCTTTTTCATAAAACATGGTTATATTTTACCATTTTAGGAGGGGCTTCAGCCTGAAACTGTCCTCTCCCTCATAGATCTGCCTATGCTCTACTGGATGTATCTGCCAGTGTCATCCTAATCAGCTTTATTAATTTCTTTAGAGTTCCTAGTGTTTCCAGTCGCTCGTACATTTTTACCCATTTTACTAAATCATATGCTTTTCTGAAGTCCACAAACAAATGATTTAATGTAACATCATATTCATAGGCTTTCTGCAGCATTTGCCTTACTGAAAAAATCTGGTCCTTAGTTGACCTACCCGGTCTAAACCCCAATTGGTAATCATCCAGAACCATTTTTGCCCACTTTGTTAATTATCCGCTGATTAAGATTGATAATATTTTGTATAAAGTTTTTACAAATGAAATTCCTCTGTTATTTCTGCACTCTGTCCTATTTCCTACATTAGAGATATCAAAAGCACCCATAACTTTGTTAATAATGATAAAATAATTACAGGAACAAAGTCAGTTTCCAAAATGTATAGAAAATGATACTTAAAATGAAAATTTGTAAAACATTTGACTGAAAAGCGAGTATTTGATCATACCAGTTATTCACACTTTAGAAGTGGCCAAAAATTACCTTTATAGGCTTCGGCAGTGTGGCTGTCGATATTGTGTTTAATTCTTTTTTATTATTAATTATATCAGTTGTGTTTAATATATTCAGTTTAATTATGTTTTTTTATTTTAATATGCAGACTTCATACATTTTTCATATTTAATTGTGGGTACTTATCCCTGTTTGATTTTAGTTTTAGTGTACCTGCCTAGTTATTTAGTAAACACAACACTTTAGGTTTTTGAAAATTGTGCAAGGGAGACGAAAACTGGCGCATATGGATATTTTTATATTTTCCGTTTTATATTAAAAAATGAATGAAAGATGCTGTTTCACATATATATTTTGAAATTAGAGATATTTGCTGACACAACAGAACCGAAATTACTGAACCAAGTGCCCATACTATTGAAAACGGGACAAACACATTTTAAAGTTTCCTTAAGGGTGCCGAAAACGGCGGGTTTTATCTCATATTGTCAGTATTAGCAAAAAGTCATTAAGTAGATTTTTTTAAAAACGTTTTAGGTGTATTTTGACCCTATTTAGCACTAAAAACACTAAGTGCATCAAAATGACACCAATCTAATTATACATCAAAAATAGTTGCATTAATTGCACAAACTTCCGATTTTGCAGAGGATAAATTCATAAAATACTTAATGAATTTCTGCAACAAACCGATTATATATATACTTCCTATGCTATGCCCACTAACTCTAGGATTTAATTTTTGGGGGGGGGGATGCTTTAGCCAAAAGTTTTTTCCCCCATATATATAACAATAATTACTACAGAAAAAAATAGAAAGATACTAACTACCTATATGAAATGGTATTTAAGTGATTCTTGAAGTCTTATCAAGTGTAATGACATGAACAATAATACTTTTAGAGATAATTTTTAATATTTTTCCATAAAACATGGTTACATTTAATCATTTTAGGGGGGGGGGGGGTGGGAGAGGCTTCAGCTCCAAAGCCCCTCCCCATAGATTTGCCTATATACATATTTTTTTTAATCTTATTTATTGAAAAATATTACAATCTGTCTCAAGGACATTTATAATAAGTGTTCACAGATCACATATATACATATTTACGTGTTCCTCCCAGAAGGGGGTCTTATACATGGTACAAGGTATGCAACTTGCACCATCAACATTTTTTTGGGAGGGGAGAGGGAGAGCATAATTTGATGGGTTTTCGAATTTTTGAGGAGAGCACATTTCAGCAGGGTTGTGAATTTTCGGAATAAGGGGTATGGGGAAAACATGGAACAGACAGCAGCAAGTATAATTGTGTATGATCTCTGATTTTTCTAGTTACACTCTGTCTTCCTCGGTTTTTAGGAAAAGTGAACAAAAGATCTTGGGAGGGGAGGATGGGCACCCCTGATTTTGATATAATTAATAGAAAATGATAAAAGGAAGATTCTGCTCTTCTACACTAACTCAGTAGATTCAGATTACTGCGGGCACAGAATTGGATTAATATCTATCTATGAATAGTTAAATATTATTAATTGTTCAACAAAAGGGATATTTTCCAAGAAGGGACTTAAGATAATTACAAAGTAAAATTTTATTATCTACTATTTTTTAACACTAGACATTATTAAGCTATAGCTTTACCAATTGTGAGTTTAATCTTATATTACACTGCTCTACATTGATATTGTATCTCACTTGAAACCAGACTCATTCCTTGTTTTTTGGGGTGAGAAATTCGAATTGCCACATAAAAATCATCAGTTAGCTCTAGTTTCAAAGATAATAGTTACTTTTTGTGTAATATGGAGAAATGTTTTGCTCCTGGGTTGGTAGTATTGATTTATGTATGTGAAACGCGGGATACGACTAGCTGTCCCGGCTGACCCAAGCCATGAATAGACTGTCATGTTGGGGATTTTTTTAAACAGTTTATAAGTACTGGCTATATTGTGGTAAGCATCCCCCTCCTGAAACCGAAACCTCACCTGGCATCAGAGGGAAATGTTAGTGTCAAATCAAATCAGTCCTGTTGTGTATCATCAGAACAAATAGGCCAATTTCAGACGAAGCAGCACAGATCCTAGAGAGGATGGCACTTTTCGACTCTACCTGTACTAAGGTGAACATGAAGGCTTGCCAGGGCTTCCAGAAAATCTCAGGATGCAGATTGAACAAGACCTATACATGGACGAAGACAACTCAAAAAGATAGAATGGAGTAATGTAGTGGACAATAGGTCATAACACTGAAAGGACCTATCCTGAGAAAATATTTCTCTTTTGTACAATCTTGGTTATACCAGAAAGGGTTCCTCCAAAATTATTTGATTTCACAATTATTCTCCAATAAATATTAGCTCTGGAATGAAGTTCTTAAAAGTCCACGATACTTTCCTGTTTTATAGGTATTCTGCTAACAAGAGAAAATTATAAACAATAGCATGGCTAAAAATTTGGATAAAAACAAATTAACTGAGGATTGTAAGTGAAGGGAGAAGTTGAAGTCTATATAATCATGATGTTAGTTATTAAGTTAACAGTACCTCAATACTAAACTACAAATTTTAATCATGTTCATTAATAGTAAAATAGAAGGACCCATGGTAAAAAGCACATGACTCTGTTTAGGTAAATGTTTTAACCTTTTATTTAAAAAATAGTTTTGCTTTTATACATTAAAATTTATATAATCATATATTTACAAAACAATCCATTAACCAAAGCAATAAATAACTGCTTTGTGAAAGAGCACGTAAAAATATTAATCAAGTATTTATCACAAAATAAACTATAATTATTAGCATACCCTTCTTGATCAGTTTGTCATCAATATAAAATTGAATTATCAAGTTATGAGAAAGGTATGAATAAATATTGGCTATAATATGTTATGAAGCACAAAAAGTTCTTAAATTAACATTTTAAAAATATACATACAATGAATACAATTTCAGAACTTCACAGAAGTACAGAATTCAAACATATTGGTGAAATGGAGGCTTTCTTTCTGAGTTTCTTTTACAACTGGAAAGGGATTTCTTAATTATTGTCCAATCCTCCATAATCTCTGCTTCAGAGAGCATATAGACAATGTAGGGTCCAGTAACAGTGACAGGTTTTTTCCGCCCCGGTTCTGGTTTTAGTCCTTTTCTCCAAGAACCACCACGTCCTTTGGGCCCAAATCCACTACCTCCTCCTTTTTTCTTATCTGAACTGAAGAAGGAATCAGTATGGAAATCGACACTATTACGATCTTCTTCAAGTCTTCTAATCTTTTCATCTAATTCTTCTTTCATGGCATCGAAGAGTAAAACTTTTTCATTCTACAAATAAAAATAAATTAATTACTTGATATGAAGTTAAAAGGGTGTCCCATCACTCTTAACAAAACTATGAAACATACAAAATTAAAAAAAAAAGAATAAGGGGTAAATAATAAATAATAAAAATTTTAAAGTCCAGTTTTTGATAAAATGAATTTGAATTAAAAGTATTCTTAACAACTTTGTCAGTTCATAACAACAGCAGACATATACCTCAAAATGGAAAAAATAGAAGAAAAAACATTATAAACTGGTTCCCTAGTATTTAAAAAAATAATTTAAATGTTTCCAAATTAAAGAAAAAGCTTGTGGACCGACCACCAGTGAAACTTTATATCAGTTTGCTACAGAACTTAGGAAATAGTGACGGACCATTTGAAAAAAAATGTCCTTAATTTTTTAAGGGTGACACCTATTGACTTCGACAAATTTAACTAATTTTATACAATATCAGGACTTTTCTTTAATTTTTTTCTAAAAACAGATCAAAACAATGGAACAAATCTCACCCCCCATTTATTTTATAAACTCTTATTTTTTATAATCCTAAAACAATGAATGATTTGTCGAAGATGACTCAGACAGATAAAACCATTTATTATAGAATACCATGACCATTCTTTAAAATTCTCTAAAATCAGATCAAAACACTGTAACAAACAATTTGTTTCCCCTTTATTTTAAAAACAATTTAGTTTCTACAATCATTTACCAAACCAAACTAAAGAGTTAATATAATGGTATCGAAATAGTTGACAGTAATTGTAGTTTAAGAAGTTGGTCAGCATGCAGTTAATAGACACATACTATATACTGTAATAGAGTTTATGTCATTTGTCAACATTTCCACCTGTTCTGTAGTTCTTTATCAGGGCTAAAATAACTACAGACAAAAATAAAAAAAAAAGTTAATTGTACAAATAAATAAACCATCAGATAATGTTAAATTAGTATAAAATATTAGCTAAAGATTGGTGGTAGAAATTGACAAGTAGTTAGTGAAATGAACACTAATTGAGTAAAATAGAAGTTAACATAGATAGTAAAAAAAAAAAATGGAACAAACATGAATTAAAATCAATAAAAATACAATATATTATGTAAACCGATGCATTAAACTATATTATACATTATTAGTTTAATGCATTTATTACATTAGAATCCCTACATATATTATTATAATAAGGCTGTAAATTTGTTTGGTAGCAAATATAAGCTCCTGTCATGCTGAAATACCATGAATGAGGTACCCGTTGGATTCAGAAATTCATGAGGCTTGACCGAATCATACTCTTCGTTTTTGTTTTTCTTACTAAAATAAATAAAGTCAATATAAACGTTATGCTAGATTTCAATACAGGACTAATTGGGTTTTGATGATTTTGATGCGTACATCAAGAACCGGATAGTTCCAAAGGAATTGGGTCATGCGTTCTTAAGCTCAAAAACGTAATGTTTAAGAGATAATGCAAGGCAAAGGGTTCACAATCCACACAACCTTATTTTAATTGTAGTGCTACCATGGAATACACATATCATTTTGTCAATTTGAGGTCCCTATGATCGAGAGAGGAGTTTATATTATTTATCAAAAGTGTTTTTTTGTCGGTAAGCCATGTCATCATTAATTCTTCATCAAATCCCAAGATTGAGACACCAATTTTGAAAGTTTCCTTCTTCTTCAGGAGGGAAATATGGTCCAATCACTTCCAAAAACCAGGTAAAAAGTTATCAAATAAAAGAAACTTAATTTGGAAATAACTAAAAAATTACACACTTTTCCCTTGGTTATGCCAATGATAGTATAAAAGATTACTAAATTCCCAACAAAAAGAAACAAAAAAAAAAAAAAAAAAATCATCGAAATCCTACAAATTATAAGCAAATTGGTTCCAAACATTAAGGAAGCTTAAGATTAATTTTTGTTTCCTTTGTCGATAATATTTAGTGAGAAAGTAGCAATAGATTTCTCTATCTTATGATCCATTTCTTTATTTTATTTTTTTATTAATTTGTCATTTCATACTGAACAATATACTGTGCGAATTTTTAACATAGGCCAACTAGTTAGAATAAGTAATGGAGAGAAGAAATCTACCTCTTTCCATTATTTACAGTAATTTCAATAGAAGAAATACACTACACTAATAATATATAATATAATTTAGTCCATAGTTGGGGACCTGCAGCCTTTATGCCACACATGGCCTTCGTGAGCTAGCTGCAACCTCTAACCGCTTTGGCATGATATTTCCTGATCTATTGCTAGAATTAATTAATATTTAATTAATTATGTTATGAAGATTTGGAAATTATTAGAATTAAGTTGGATATATGAAAATAGATAAGTATATTTCTTGATAAATAAAAATAACAACAGTAATATATAAAATATTGTTGCGGCATCAATCAGCATGGCCTATCCTAATGCGGTGATAAAAAGGTTTCCCACCTTTGGTATAGTCCATCAGTATATATATATATAAGATATTGTATTTCTATTGATTTTAAAATTCACATGTTTCATTTTTTTCTGGTTGATTTTTCATCTATGTCACCTTAAATTTTACTCAATAAATGCTCATTTCACTTACTACTTTTCATTTTCCACCTCCTATAATCTGTAATTAATATCTGGTAGCTCGTACTAATTTAATATTATCTGATATTTTATTTATCTTGTTCTTTCTTTTAGACCTGCTGAAGATATACAAGTCGAAATATTGATAAATGAAACAACCACTACTACGATATATAATATGTGTCTGTTGAATGTGCGCTTGAATAGGTAGGTAGCTTGTTCATATTGAAGTTAGTGATTGTGTTTATTAATTGTTTTATATTAAATAAATTTTTTAATTTTTATTTGTGAGAACTTCACTGTCAGCTGAATAAAAAAAAAAAAAACTTGTTTGTGATAGGGAGGAGTTGGGAAAATTATTAGGATGACTATAGAGTTTATCAGACATATTAACACGTTAGCTGCAGTTACGATCCCTGGGGCCTGATATGCGTCTCGACTACCAAACGGCCGGGATTGTTTCGAATTTCGTCTATCTTAGGAAGTATCTAAATTGGTAATTTTAAAAAATATTTGTTTGAGTTTTGAGTTCTACCAATGGGTAGTTTCTCTTCATGTTGTACATGTCATGTTACCAATGTCACATTTACTTATTGTATTTTCCATGTAATATGGTTGCAAATTTCATTAAAATAAAAAAATTTGAATGGGAGTTGGATAGATGTAAAGATACGAGCGTAAATAATCATTATATCTGATAAAAAGTTTTCAGACGCCAGGGACTGATACTGTACCACACCGATAAAAAATGATTTCCCTACGGTATCACCCATCGGCACATGCAAGGTCTTGTCTCCTTTGGGCTTCTGTCGCGCAGTAGCTCTTGAGAGTCCATCTTAAGACTGTTCCCCTTGCATATTTAACATGTATAAATGAATAAATAATAAATAACATACATATAAATAATGTATAAATTATATCTTAAAAATTATAATTATATGTAATAGAAAAACTTTTTTTCATTTTATTTTCAATATTTAAGATTTATATCCCTAAAAATAACACTTGTTTACGGCAATAAAGAGAAATAATTAAAAACTAGTCATATATAAACGACAACGGACGTCGGAGACCACTCCTACGATTGCTGGCCATTAATGATGACACAATCAACAGATAGAGACTCTGAATAGGGAATTTAGTTCACCTTTGTTGTAAAAAAATAGCGGTATACCTCGAAACTGATGTCACCGTTGTCCAATGGCGATAGGAACTTCATAACTAGTGTCAGTCATCGTCGGGAAAGATATTTAAGAGATTTTAATTTAATTTACTGATTTTAATAATTTACTCAGCAGCTAACGTGTTAACTTGTCTATAGAAGTAGTTGTAAAGAATCACTTAACCTTAACACACATACAGTGTATGTACTCTGTGTTAGAGTAATTTATTAAATTTTACATATCGTAAACAAATTTTAAAATTTAACAATATAATCAAATTAACTTTCACAAGCCATATTGGAGGACCATAGTTAGAAGAGAATTCTGATTTAATTGTTGATCTTCCAAAAACATTTAATTAGATATTAATTATACCATGGAAAGAGGACAGGAAGAAATTAAATGAAAATAATCTAAGCTATAGTGTCAATCTAACACAAAAGTCTGTATAGAAAATAGCAATTGAAAAGTCAAAGTAAAAAATAACTGAACTAACTTAACCAACTATAGATTACCTCAAAGTTTTGTTTGGCAGCTTGCTCTTCCGCTTTGAAATTATTTTCAATATTTTCAAGTCGTAGTCTTTTTAATATACCAGCTACTTCTATCCTGATTCTCATATTCTCTTGAAGTTCTTCCAATGGCTGGCGATATTCCTTCGCCACTCCTTCATGTACCTCCTCCAGTTTTGTTTTTATTTGGGTAATTCTCTCACGATAAAGCCTGAAACAATTAATGAAATATATTATACAAGTTACGAAAAATTGTAGCTAAAACTAAAATACTACTAACATCTCAAAACAAGGAAGTTGCATCTTGGATACACAAATTTAATTATAAACAAGCAATATATATTTCACCAGATCAAGCGATGATTCTAGGGAGGTAACAAAAATTAAAATTCACAATGAGAAGATACCTGTTAATCCCGAAACACCTTTTCACCACAGGCTCTCTTGAAGAAATCTGACAATGAGCTAAAAAAGTATTTAATGGACGAATTAGCTGCATATCATTTGTTCTTTGAACAGATTGGGATGGATACAATTCCCAAATCTGTATTTCATGACAGGTTAGATTTTTTAATGAGGCTGTCGATCTAAGCACTGCTTCGTAGAATACTTCTAAAATAAGTTGGATATATGAAGCAACATTATAACTAGAGACCGGATTTTCATGTTATTGTACATTTTGTTTGATTAGGTGTAAAAACTTAAAACCCGACAATCTATCCGTTTTATGATCTGTGGAACAACATATTAAAATTTCATTTTGTAAGCAATTGCACGTTAAAGGTTTTTGTTGCATGATATACCATATTTTATAATTTAAGGGCTAAACTTCAATTTCAAGAAATTTTAAGAGTATAAAGTAAAATACTTGAACCAAATTTCCTTTATGACATGTATATAGGTATATATGTAAATATTTATTTACATTTATTATACATGAGAACAAGGGTGTCCAACGCATGGACGGAATAAGATCGTAAATAGTTTTTCAGAATAAATGTTTTGTTTTCAATTTTTTTATTCAAAATATTATTTTCAAGTTATCTTTCTGGGATCAAAAGAAATTTTAGACTCATATTGTTTGATATAGGTAATTAAATTACAAAAAATTAATATACAAATACACACATTTTATTGCATAAGTAATAGTATAATTGGAAGTAACATATTTAATAATTTAATTTAATTCAAGCGAATATAGTCACTTACAAAGCTCTCTATCTTCATAGTTCTGTTAGTAGCGATTCCAAAACATGTGTATATTTATTTTCCAGTTTTAAAACAAATAAGTATGAAAGTATTTTTAAATAAACGTTTAATTGCCACTTGGCTGAATGTTCTTTGACAAAACGCCGTCAGGTTATGCGAGGGAGTATGGATTTATATAAAATTTAAGGAACTAAACTCAAAATCTACTTTTTAAAAAGTTTAAATTGATCTGCAGCTGTAAAATCAACCTTCTTTCAATTCAAAAATGCATTGTTTTTTTAAAAAAATACATGATAATTTTTTTTTAAGCTGTTGTTCTTTCATTCAGAATTAAGTTAACTGTCGTACATTTTTATATTAGAATTAGATTTTTCTCAGCTTACTTGTAGTAGATACCCCCCTGTATTTACTCCTTTATGTGACATTTTGTGAGGGAATGAGAAGGAATTTATAGGAATGTGGGGTTGAACTGTGAATTGTACTCAATTGTGCAGTGGACAAATTGTTCATTGAAAAATCTCATATTGATAAACAATCGATGAAGAAGGAAAAAGGTCCCGTCAGGAAGCAACAGCTGGAGAAGGAGGCTGGAGAGAAAATAAGGCACTTGAGGCTGGGACATTAAGGCGGAACGACGTTATCTGAGAAGAGAAGCCTAGCACATTGAAGACTAAGAATATCAAGCCTACAGTTATAAGACTTTTATACATTCATTTATTACAGTTGTCAAAATAAATTGTTTTATTATACAGGAGTGAAAAGTCATTTTATTTAGTTGTCCTATATGCCTCACAATAGAAGAATAACAAACCAGGTAGGTGAGTCAATTCATTCAAAGTGTATTTACTCAGTCCCATATTATATATATATATATATATATATATTCTTATTGTTTCTTGTCACAAAAGGTATTAGATTCCCGAATTTCCAACAACAGTTAAACACCTCAAAAAGTCTATATCTAGTGGCAGGATTTTGTTTTAATATTCACGAGTGTAAATAACCTAGTCCCCTAATAAAAGCGGAAGGCTCTTCGCTATTGGCCCGCCAAAAAGAATATTTACATTTAACTTTTAACAATTATTTACATACTATACGTTATATCTAACTTCAATTTAGATGCTTCAACTCTCAACATAAGAGTAAATAAGCATTAATATTGTAAATTAAACAAAAGCTATGATTTTTGTGTGTTATTTATATAATTTTACACTTCTGGGGTTTTCACACCACCATTTTTCACATTTTGAGTTTTTTTATTACAAGTTTTTTGGTTTTTACTGCATGAAAACCCATCTCTAATTATAACATTTGGAATTCTGTTGTTTTTTATGGCTACCTGGTTGACCATATCTTTTAAAATCATTAGATCCGTAGAACATATATTATGTACTAAACAACAGGCTATACCTGACATTGAACTTTAAGAAACAACAGCCATTATGTCTTAAAATAAATTTCCAACAAACAAACTATTTTAACAATAATATATATATGATGTGTCAATGTTACTTCAGAATGAAGGATTGCAAGTGATAATTATAAAAGAAGTTACTTTTTGTGAAAAATACAACACAGTGAAAAGTTCACTTAATAGAAAAAATCTGGTGCCCGCAACACAACTTTCTCTAACCCCTCAACTTTGAATAGAAATTATTTTCGGGCCATGTTGGGCTATCATAAATTTTTGAATTGCATTCTTAACCAAGCTAAAGCTAAAAAATTACAGCTAACAAATCATAAATACCATTAAAATAAAAAAATTATATTTATTATATCACCGGTTGATTATGGATTGTATGACTAATAGTTATTAAACTGTTCCTTTCCATTGCAAAATTTACTAAAACGAAATTAAGAGATTTGCATTGTCTGTTATAGATAGGTCAAAAGTTGTCACACTAATTTTAAGGGGATACTATCGGAATATCACAAAAGGAAATTTCATCAAACTACTCACTTAAAAGGTTACATGATTTTTCAGAATAAACGGACGGTAGGCACCTAAATATTTAAATACAATCTCAGATAGTTATTAAACTACAATAAATATATTTAAGATTATAAACGTATCTATGAAATATTTTTATATTTCAACTTCTTCTTTCACAAAACTACAATGAAATAGCAGAGGATACTGTTGGAATATCACAAAGGAAAGATTCATCAAATTATTCACTAATTTAATTTTCTAAAACGTTATATGACAATATTTCGGAATAAACGGACATTGATCCCTAATTATTTAACTATAATATAAGATCTAGAATTATTAAACTACAGTAAATGTATTTAAGGTTATAAACATATGCTTTATATATCCATGATATGATTTTATATTTTACTTCTTCTTTCACATAAGTACAATGAAATAGTTTTTTAAGCAATGTCATTGCCTAGATTAGGTGGATTTTAACTACTTTTTTCAAACTCAAAAATATTTTAAAAGTTTACATTTAGTTAGTAAATTTCATTTAAATTCCTTGAAAACATGTGATATACGTTAAATATTATTAGTTTTCAAAAATTATTATTTATAATTTTTTTCCACTCTCCGTTACCTTCTACAACTTTCTATATAGGTATTGTTTTTCTAAAATTCTCCACTTTCCAACGATATATTATACGTATACCTCCTAAATAGTATTTCCAGAGATTCATTTTTGACCTGGATAAGCATTTTTATTTTTTTCTCCTTTATTCAATTATCGACTTCTTTCAATCATAACTAAAAGTTATATTTAACATCTTTTTGTAACTCTTAATAATTAGAGATAGTTAATTATTTAAAAGAAATCATATTAAAAGTACTTTAGAGGAAGGCGCACGCATATGAACATTGGGCATTTAAGCTCTATAAAGTGATATCAGCGGGGATAAGACCTAAATGATATTAAAGACCACTTAGTTATACAATAATACACCGAGTTTAATCAAAATTGTTAAGAGCCATTTTTTAGAAAATTGGAAAAATGTGTTTCAGCGTTGATATAAAATGGCACTTCCAGTAAGACGATTTTAAGGAAAAAGTTGACAAATCTAAGGCATGTACCTATCTTAAATAGGTAATATCAGTTTCGTACGACTTTTCGTTTTTGAGATAGACTGCTAACATACATACACAGACCATTTTTCGGGACTTGGTTATTTGGGCTCAGAGTACCCCAAAACGTGTATTTCTGTTGAAAACTCAGATTCAAAAATTTTCATGTTCGCAATACTTATCCTTACTATATATTACATATATATATGTAAGTGAAAGTAAAAACTGAAAAATAATAGCAAATTAGGAAGCAAGTATAACCTAATTAATTTTCAAATACAAAGTTTCTTTAGATCAAATGTTTTTATTTATATTGAAAAACTGAATAAGTAACTGCTTGTTTTGGTGAGATTAAAAACTTAGGATATTTATATTTGATCTAAAATAAAGGGATTAAAAAAGTTTTCAAATTTGTTTGGAATGTCTGAATAAATGTCTACTTTAATCATTAGTTGTCTTTCAGTTTATAATTAAATTATGTTTTCATTAATGCAGCCAGAAAAAAAGTTGATTAAAATGTGCGTTCATGTCATTCTAAATGAATGAATAAAGTTGAATTTTCCATTCATTAACGAAAAAAGTTTCATATAATAACATTTGTTTTATTTTGGTTTCATAAAATAAAACATTTGTTTTACTTTGATTACATATTAAATATTAGTTAAATTTTTTTCAACTATTTTTTTTGTTTACTAGATAAGCTAGCATCAATTTCTGGGTACCATTATGTTATTTATCTTATTTAGTGATAAATTAGACTGGAGAGAAGATATAATTAAACTAATATATATATATATATATATATATATATATATATATATACATGTGTATATATTATAAATAAATATACTTATATTAATTATAATAAACAACTAAAATATTGTACCTTACTAATTCATATTTAATTAGAATTTTTTTAATAATGTGATGAAAACTATAATGGAAACAGCTATGACCTAAAAACAAAAAACTGCAAGCTAGCAATATCAAAAATAAAGATCCTCTGATCCTATTTAATGTTACCAAATATATGGTAGTTAGTGATCACTGCAAAAAGAACTCTATCAATTAGATGAGCAAAAATTTCTCAAGTAAATATCATTAAGCACATTATAAAAATCTTGATTTTAATTTACTGATAAATAGTACATCAAAAATTCTGTTTAAAAGTTTTATATTATAAAACAAAAAGATATTAATAAAGAATTTACAAATACTGAAATGTTTTAATACAAATCGTTTTCAAACCACAGGATTGATTTTTTTGTTTATTACAAAATGTAAATGAGACGTCCATGAAATCTTAAAGAATCATTAGTAGTTAAGAAGATTGGAGGAAATGAATTACTCTTCTCTAACTTTTTAAGTCATTACTGAATTTCTTTCCAAATAAGGACACCCACAGGAACGGTATCTAATGAATCATCTACAAGCTTCGATACAATGATAAGAGGGCATTAAATAAAACATAAAAGCATCTTGTGACAGTCCAAAAATAGAATTAAAAAGCAAAAAACAAATATCTGATACTAGCTGTACCCAGCCACGTGTTGCTGTGGCTCAGTCTGTTTGAATAGAAACAGAATTAAAAAAGAAAGCAGATGTTTCTAGTATATTTAACTTCACAATACTTTTGGATATACAATATTTTTTGTTGTTCCATTCTTTGTATAGATAGATATAGACATTGTTTGGTTTTACAACTCTAGAACATGCAACATATAATTGTCATATGAGAAGCAATTTGTCTCTGAATCTCCAAAGAAAAAGTATTAAATGTTTAAAGCATATTTCTACAACAAATCGCCCAATTTTAGTAATTTTCCTTTTTAATTTGCAGGGCATCAAGGAAGCTTTGAAATAATCATGTGTATAATCAATAAGAAATTGTGTACTTTTCGACTGATTCTTAAATATAGCTCTGAATCCATCGTAACTTTTTTTTCATACTCTTTTTGGGGAAGCATGTTATATACATAACTTAAAAAGGGCTTCAAAAAGACTTCAGCCAAGTTCAATTGTTATAGCCATTTAGGCACTATAGTCTATAGCGACACACATTTTTTGGCCAGCCTTCCAAAACAAAAGGCCAGATGGTAATTAAATGTATATAAAATCACTCCTGAATACGATAGAAAAGTTATGTCAAAATTTCAAAGCAATTGGTGAAGTAGTTCAGGAGATTAGCGGTTTTGAACAAATGAACATTTACATTTTATTTACATAGATTGAAAATCAGCTTTCAAATTTAAAATGAAATTAGGTAAATGTATTTCAGTTCGCTGAAACAGGGAAACATTTGATAAATACTACTGTTCAAAAGTACGTTTGAAGAGAAACTAGAATGTGCTACACAAAGTAATGTTAGAAGTCATTCTTTTCCACATTAAAAATCCTTAAGTTTATGCATTTCTCGGAGCATTATTGGCTTACTTTCCCATCTATTTGACTTGATAGATTTATATGAAGAAATAATTACTTAACATTAAGTTGTATGAAGAACAGATCTAACAAGTGGTAATATAGATTTTATACCTAAAATTACCAGAAAAAGTAATGACACCACACATAATGAAACAAAAATAATAATTCATACAAATATATGAAGAAAGGTTAAGCATTATCAATTGTTTTAACATCATTACTATTAAACGTTTAAACTAACGAAGTTCACATTGTTGTTTACATAGAATATTATTTCTTAAATCATAGGTCAAGAAACTAACGAATGGATTATAAAAACTGATATTTGTTTAAAGAATGTTTCACTATTCACACAAAACAAAAATGGATCTCACTTTGATTTACGGTGAATACAAGTTTTTAAAACAACAATAACACATTAAGTTTACTATATGTGCGACACAAGTCAGAGTTGCCACTAAAATAGTTTTAAAAAAATCTAACTAATTAAACATACAGATATAAAATTTTTTGAAGATTTCTTGATGAAAAAACATACAAATACTTTTTGAATAATATACGGTCAACAATTACATTTAACAACAAGATTTAGATTGATGTAAATGTAATATGAAAACTATTAAGGTTATCAAATATATCACTAACATAACATGAGCACATCCAAAAAAGAATTTTTAAAATTATCATAATAATTTTAGTTAAGGCAATTTAAATCGAATATTAATAAAACATTTTAAATATAATTTTTGATGTGTTTTTACACTTATTTCGAGTTGACTAATCAAGTAAGCATTTCATTGAATTAACTGTACACACTTCAATATTGCAATGACAATAATCTAAAGTTAAAAGACCTATTAAAACAGAAAAACATGCTAGTTGTTTACTAAGAAAATGTAGCATTTTAACATAACAACAATATAAACATTTTAAAATTTACCCACAGAAAATATATATACACAGGAAAAATGGTAAGTAAAGATGGACAAAATGAACAATATTATTAACATAAAAAACAAAACAACTATAACTGGCTTTCATCAGTGATGCTAAGAACTCAAAAAGGAAGTTTATAAACAAAGGAAGTTTATAAACCTTTCAACTTATGTACCTATATGAACTTCAAAACATTTTCTTGTTAATAATTTAGTCGGTATATATATATATATTTTTAATTTATAAATTGGTGAAGATAATACATTGATATAAAAAAAAATTGTTACAACTAACTAAAACCTGAAAAAAAATTATAACAAAGATTTCTTTGCTAAAGGTCATTAATTTCTCTCAGTTCATACAGTTAATTGAAGGAGTTGGTAGGACTGTTAAGCTTTCAAGCATGCTATTTCTTTAATATACAGAATGAAATCAGTTGTCAGCAATTAGTAAATGTTTATTAACAATTATAAAGACATTATTATTTGTTCTGAAGTTGGTAACTGTTATTCAACCAAATAACAATTAACTAGAGTAGTATAGTACTTCTATGGAATTTTAAGAAATACAAAATGCATAAAAAACTTATATGGAAGTTTAGACCGACCAAAAAAAAAAAAGAATAAATAAACTTAGTGTCCATTTTTATATATTTTTTGACGGTATGAATATATTAAAGGAATGGTAACGAGTTCTCAGACTTGATCAACACAAATAAACATAATGGTAGATACATTGTTGACCATAGATCGAATAGCATTTAGCCATGATGAAGGCCCAAAACACTGGCTCATTCCCCACCAATTTATCCTACTACCACAAATAAATATCTATATTATACCTCATTTCAATCCATTAAAATATACAATATTCTTAAAAATTGATATACTAAGGAAAACAAATAAACAATAAATACTTTGTGAATGGTGAAGACACTAATTCCTAGCTCAACTGAATAACTAAGTTTAGAAGCATATATATATATACACACAAAATTATTTTAACAGACAAACAAGTATGTACTGTTTAATGGTGTATTTCGAGGAATTAAAACAAAATCAGGTAGAATGAAATGAAATAATGTGAACAAAAATATAATTATGCACATGGGTACTACAACAAACCCCATAATATCCTAAGGCTATATGAAGATAAATATAATATAACTTACACAATATTTCCATTATGAAAGAAATTTTAATTAACTTACTGTTCTCTCAGCACTGTAAACTGTCTTTCCATTTCAGCCAAGTTTTCAATGCACTCATTTCTTCGGCGTTCACATTCTTCTCCATCCAATTCTTGAACAATAAACAAAGAAATGAACTATGACTTCCATTTAAATTTAAAATATAACAATGAATTCGGTTAAATTCGGCAGGCAATTCAAAATAAAGATCCTACAATAGTACAAATGTTTTGATTTACCAGTAGTGAGAAAACAATAGTCTACAATTGAGGGCTAAGTTACTTATTGTGTTTCATGAACAATAAACTTTCATAAAATGCACTGTGAAAACATGTAAACAGCTACACGTGCGCTACTTAACTATTTTGGTTGTTACCTGAGCTATCATCTGTATCAGAACCATCACTAGTGTCAGATGTTGAACTTGACTTGTCGGATTCACCTGACTCATGTTCCATTTCATCTCCATCTGTATCTTCCCGTTCATCCTTAAGGCTGGCCATTATAATTGAGATACATTTATAAGTTCAAAAAGCACTCCCAAAAAAAACATAAGAACGCAGTACGAATATTCCATATGAAATAAATAGACCCAATTTAAGTTCCATTACTTACAAATACGAAGTAATTAAACATTTTACATATAATTCTCTAACTCGAGGTTATAATAAAAATAGCCGTAATACAAATGATTTAATAAGGATATTATGCAGGACTTTGGAACTAGACCGGCTAACCTAAACACAGCGTCCATAAACGTAAACAAGACCCCTTCGGCCTCATCTTGCACAGCTGAGGCCAACAAAATTTAAAATATAATTAGAACTACTTAAAATGCATTTAGTCCTTTTAATCATTATCACAACCGAAATTTTAACACTGCACAATCAAAATTGTCCTGTTTAGTGACGTTCTTCACTACTAACAGAAGGTAGCAGCGTTCCCTGGTTCTGGCTATTCCCAGGAATTCTGGGAAATTTATAATCCAATCGATTCATTAATGACGTTATCAGTCTTGATAGTAGTCGGTGGAAAGTGCGGTAGCTGGGTGTACTGTTTTATATGCTCCTTAACTCTTTTATTATCTCTCTGCCACTTGTGATTATGCAAATATGAATTCTATTATTAAAAATTTGTTAAAAAGAGAAGTACTAATATATTGTATATTAAAAGTTTCGCTGTATGTTTATTTTACAAGTATGATAATTGTTTCCAATTTTCCTGTCAACAGATAGCAAATACTGTCTCAAGACATTATTCTTCAAATAAGGAAGTGTCAACAACGAAGTTATATATTAATGGAAAATTTATTGAATCCCAGACAAATGATTGGATTGACTTATACAACCCTGCAACAAATGAGGTAATTTATTTGAATTATTTTTATGTAGGATTTAAAATTCAACATAATATTGAATATGAATACTAATAAAACAAATTCTATATCTTGTAATCAAGACATTTGAAAACTAATATATTAGATAAAGGAGCTAATTTGTATTAACTCTTATGTTTAATTTGCCTTTATAAATAAGTCTTACTTAACAATTGGCTGTTTATATTAGTTATATAATTTTTCCTTAATTTGATGCTGTTGAATCCATAGTGAAACTTATCTTATCATTTTATATAAGATTATATAGTGTGCTTTATTTAAAAAAAACAAATTAACCATATAGTTAAATAATTAAAAAAAAACAGTATAATAAATTAAACACTGAACAATATAAAGAAGAAAATAGTATAATGCTTTAGAAAAAGGGTAACTTTTCCCAAAAAGAAGCAAAGAAAGGCTGAGAATTTTTGTGAAGGTTAATAATTCATAAAGTAAATTATAGTCAGAAAATTCTAAAACCTTAAAAGGAACTGACCTTCAACAAGATATAATTTATAAAATATTATATAATAATTTATCTAAATTTTCATTACTTTAAATACATGTAGTTGAAAATTGAAGTATAATGTTTAATATTATAAATATAATAAAATGTAATTATAACATTTGTTACAAACAATGCCAATTTAGTTACTTACAATTTATTTAGGGTGCAATGCTTTTATGAATTATTAACTTCCACATTGAACTTTTCTTTTTTCTAGGTCATTTCAAAAGTCCCTAAATCAACCAAAGATGAAATGGAGTATGCTGTTTCTTCTGCGAAGGAAGCTTATAAAAGTTGGTCAAAAACATCTATAATCAGGAGGCAGCAGATCATGTTTAATCTTCAGAACATAATCAAAAGTAACATGGTAATAGTATTCCTGACTCCTGATATTTTTTTTTATTTACTTATAAATGATATTATTTAAGTTTAGCAATAGCTTTGAAAAAATCATATTCATAATTTTTTATTGATATTAAAATTTTTTATTCGATCTGTGGATGCTTATCAAATCATTTTTAATATTTTGTATTGTACCAATCAGTCAAACCTTTTTGGTGTTGGCTAACAGTATTTATACCATGTTATTTTTAGAAATCTTTAAAAACATAGAAAAAAAATAATTAGGATTTTAAGATTTTAATTTTAAAAAAAATCTCTATGATTTTCTAAATCATTTCCTGTTGCTATCTTTCTTCACCTTCATCAAACAGCAAAATATTGATCTGAAAAGTGGTTGTTTTTTCTCTTTTATTTACCATTTCACAATATTGTACTAGTAATTGTTCATTTTATCTTCAATGCTTGTATTTTTATGTTTTATTTATTAATAAAAAGTTGTGCCATTGATCATATAAGCACTTGAATATTTTATATGATTAAAATTAGTTATTACCTTTATACTTTACCTATATCATGCTAATATTAAATAATTTATTTCAAACTTTCTGCTAATTTTTATTTTTCCATTTTTTGTTTGTGAATTATTATAAATGAAGTAAATAAATTTTACTTTGCCTAGATAAGGTTCTAAAGTATAATAAATGTGATGTTTTTATTAAAAGTTTTCATTTTGTATGAATCTGACTTCCTGTTGAATGACAATTAAAAAACAATGAAGGATGCTGTATAATTTAACATATTAATGTTTAATGTAGTAGTTATTCAACCAATGAACTGTCTTTTAATTTATTCAATAGCTATTTAAGAAATGTTTTTAATTTGCCTGTTGATAAAACACTCTTAGAAATTTTATATGGACCAACCATTGTACTATGGACAATTCTTGTTCAAGATAAAATAACTTCACAAGTTATACTTTTCTAGCAGAAAGTTTGAAAATAATATAAAGTTTTATTGTCTTTTCAGTAATTTTCTTGATCTTATATTTGTGAATTGTTGATTTAACATATTTTCTGTTCTTCCATTCCTTATATTTCTCTGTTCCAAGCTGTTGGCTGTTTTTTTTTCCCACCCCTTCCTTGCCTTTTAGGCTATTAGGTTTTCCCGGACCAGGGGAGAGGGCAAGGAGATTAATACCTGAGTGAAAAGCTCTCCCGGCACTTGAACCCTGATTTTTATCATATTTATTTTATCATGTTATCTTTTATCATGTTGCTGTGCATTGGCGTGGTTTGCATGCACGTTAGCCAGCTCGATCACCCTGTCTCCTGGTTGGGAGAACAACCTTGTGAACCAAGTTGTTGGCTGAACGACCTTTGCCAAACTTCTATTTAATTATGTTTATATGAATTATTTATTAATTTATTCTTATTTATGTTGGCTTTACAGCTGGTTTAGATCGTTAGCATTCTCAATTTTTATCTATCTTAGACTATTACTTTTTAGCTTTTGCTTGCAGATCTGCATCATCTCTGTTAATTTAATCTATCTATCAGACTTTTACCCAGATCATTATACTTAATTTTAAATATTCCATTATGATTAATTTATAATGAAGAGAAAACTAAGATAATGGTTCTCAGAAGAAAGAAGTAAATCCACCCCCAAAGAACTTACATCAACCACTGGGAAACCACAGTTTCAATGCAATAAGCTGCTTCCAGTACCTGGGATCTCTGATTAATGAACAGCTCGATGAAGAGGAAGCAGTGAAGAAAAGGATTATACTGGGGAACAGCATACTTTGGCATGTCCAAGATACTGAGGTATAGGCTTACCAGTAACATCTCCAACTTCAGGATATAAAAAACACTAATAATACTGGTTGTAACCTATGCCAGCGAATCTTGGAGTATGAATAAAATGAACCGTGACCTATTGGACTAGTTTGAGAGAAGGATACTAAGGAACATCCTGGGATCAATTTGTGAAAATGGAGTTTGGGGACGTAGAAAAAATAGGAATCTATATAATAAATACAAGGATCTGAACCAATAGGGATCTTTATAATAAATACTAGAACCTGAACCAATAGGGATCTTTATAATAAATACTAGGACCTGAACCAATAGGAATCTATATAATAAATACAAGGACCTGAACCAATAAGGATCTTTATAATAAATACAAGGACCTGAACCAATAGGGATCTTTATAACAAATACTAGAACCTGAACCAATAGGGATCTTTATAATAAATACAAGGACCTGAATATCTCAGCAAGCATCAGAATACTAAGATTGTATGTGTTTTATGAGAATGGGATATGAAAACAGGAAAACATGCAGCAGTTGAAAATAAAAAAAAGTCCATGTAATGGATAGAGAGAAGTGGAAGGTAGAGAGGTTAAAAAAGCCAAGGGCTTCTATATGCGTCTGTTACAGCTAAGTGACAAAGAAGAATTAATTTATATTCCTGTGTCTTCCGCATGCCCCTAGTTATTCAGAAATTTTCTTCATGGATGTCTTGTAATTAAAAGTTTGTTTTTCGCAATGTTAAAGATTTTTTTGCATTCAATGAAAAGAAAATATAAGTTATAAAAAAAAAAAAATAAATAAATAAAAACACCTGTATCACTAACAACCCTTGAAGGGTCTTGGGTTCAGTACAATGTGAGGAAGTACTGTTATAAGACCAACGATTGTGATAGGAAGTAATCAGGCCGAGATCACGCTCAACCGCCAGAATTTTTCCTCTTAATCACTAGCGGATCCAGGATTTAATTTTGGAGGGGGCTTCTTTTTCATGAAGCTTTTTTTTTCATGAAAGTAATGGTAATTACTTTGAAAAAAAAGAAAGAAACTAACTACCTATATGAAATGGTGTTTAAGTGATTCCTAATGCCCTTTTAAATATAATTATACGAACAATAATACTTAAAGAGATAATTGTTTAATATTTTTTTTCGATAAAACATGGTTATATTTTCCCATTGGGGGGGGGGGCTTCATCCCGAAAGTCCTCCCTGTAGATCCACCCGTGCTCTTAATTAATTATTCACTTAAGGGGAACCCACTTTATAGAGGCTGGGTGTGCCTCAGAAGGTTCTCGAGGCCTTTAATATAGCATTTCCAAGTCAATTTCAACCTTTTCCAAGTCAAATTCAACCTTTTCCAAATCAAATTAAACTTTTTCCAAGTCAAATTCAACCTTTTCCATTTCAAATTAAACCTTTCCCATTTCAAATTCAACCTTTTTTTATTTATTTAATTATCTTTAATTTTTCGATGCGTGGGTCTGTTATCGTATGAGTAGTTTTTTAAAATAACCTCCTTTTTAAGATTACGTGACTGTGTTTCGAATTATTTAAGTTTTTTTGACTTATTCGTATATAAGGGTGTATTTTTATGTTTCCCGATCAGTAAATTTTTAAAATGACATCTATTTTATGTTTACGCCACTGTGTTTTGATTTATTTAAGTTTTTAGAATTTATCCAATATAAAGGTCTACTTTTTTGTTTCCGGAGCCGTAGATTTTGAAAACGACCTCCATTTTAAGATTAGGCCACCGCGTTTCGACTTATTTAAGTTTTTCGGATATTTTTCATATGAGGGTGTATTTTTATGTATCCGGAGCTGTAGATTTTGAAAATGACCTCCATTTTAAGATTAGGCCACCGCGTTTCGACTTATTTGAGTTTTTCGGATATTTTTCATATGAGGGTGTATTTTTATGTATCCGGAGCTGTAGATTTTGAAAATGACCTCCATTTTAAGATTAGGCCACCGCGTTTCGACTTATTTGAGTTTTTCGGATATTTTTCATATGAGGGTGTATTTTTATGTTTCCGGAGCTGTAGATTTTGAAAATGACCTCCATTTTATGATTACGCCACTGCGTTTTGACTTATTTAAGTTTTTCGAATTTATCCAATATTAAGGTCTACTTTTATGTTTCTTGAGCCGTAGATTTTGAAAATGACATCCATTTAATGATGACGCCATTGCATTTTGACTTATTTAAGTTTTTCGAATTTATCCAATTTAAAGGTCTACTTTTATGTTTTCGGAACCGTAGATTCTGAAAATGACCTCTATTTTATGATTACGCAACTGCGTTTCAACTTATTTAAATTTTTAGAATTTAACAAGTATAAAGGTCTAATTTTATGTTTCTGGAGCAGTAGATTTCCCCCATTTTGTAAATGACCCAATTTAAAGTTTATGCCACTGTTTTGGATTATAAAAGTTTTTTTTTTTACTTTTTCGGTATAAGGATCTACTATGTTATCCGAGACGTATTGAAATTTTTCTAATCTTTAATATTTAAATTTATCTAATATTTAAGCTCCATTTTATGATTAAGCCGCTGCATCTTGATTAATTAGGCTTCATTTTGGATTTTTTCAATACAAAGTTTCATCAATATGTTTTCGAGTATGAATAAATAAATAAATATTATGAAGCTAAAGTAAAATTAACCACAGAATACAAACTAAAAAGCCGAAAAGCAACTGGTAATAAATTTAACCTTCCGTACTCAGATTTTTCAGCTAATTGTTCGAAATCTTATAATTTTGTGATAGCAGACCACAACATTAAAAAAGATAACTAAAATTAAATTAAAAATGAGACAATACATATTTTATTTCTTTTGATTAGATATTTTTATTTATTTATTGAAAAATAAATTAATCCTTCGTATTATGTTTTTTATTCGAAAGAAAAATCAAAATCACTTAACAAAACCGAAACACAGTGGCCTAATCTTAAAATGTAAGTAGTTTTAAAAACTAAGGCTCCGGCATCATAAAAGTAGACCTTTAAATTGGATAAATTCGAAAAACTTGAATAAGCCGAAACGCAGTGGCATAATCTTAAAATAGAGGTCATTTTCAAAATCTACGACTCCGGAAACATAAGAATACACTCTTTTATGATAAAAATTCGAAACACTTAAAGAAATCGAAATGCGGTGGCCTAATCTTAAAATGGAGGTCGTTTTCAAAATCTACGGCTCCGGAAACATAAAAGTAGACCTTAATATTGGATAAATTCGAAAAACTTAAATAAGTCAAAACGCAGTGGCGTAATCATAAAATGGAGGTCATTTTCAAAATCTACAGCTCCGGAAACATAAAAATACACCCTCATATGAAAAATATCCGAAAAACTCAAATAAGTCGAAACGCGGTGGCCTAATCTTAAAATGGAGGTCATTTTCAAAATCTACAGCTCCGGATACATAAAAATACACCCTCATATGAAAAATATCCGAAAAACTCAAATAAGTCGAAACGTGGTGGCCTAATCTTAAAATGGAGGTCATTTTCAAAATCTACAGCTCCGGATACATAAAAATACACCCTCATATGAAAAATATCCGAAAAACTTAAATAAGTCGAAACGCGGTGGCCTAATCTTAAAATGGAGGTCGTTTTCAAAATCTACGGCTCCGGAAACAAAAAAGTAGACCTTTATATTGGATAAATTCTAAAAACTTAAATAAGTCAAAACACAGTGGCGTAAACATATAATGGATGTCATTTTCAAAATTTACTGATCGGGAAACATAAAATTAACATAAAAATACACCCACATATCGAATTTGTCAAAAAAACTTAAATGATTCGAAACGCAGTCACGTAATCTTAAAATGGAGGTTATTTTCAAAACTAGGTACAGGACAGCATAATACTAGTCCCTAAGAAATCCGAATAGGTACAATAAATCGATATCCGTAAGTGAAAATTATACTTAGGAGAGCATAATAATAGACTTTCATATTGGAGGGGGGAGGGGATGGACATTATTTTAAAAAAAATATAAAATTTACAAAAACTTAAAACATTAATTTGAAATGAAAACGGTTGAATTTGAATTGGAAAAGGTTTAATTTGAAATGGAAATGGTTGAATTGACTTGGAAAAAGTTTAATTTGATCTGGAAAAGGTTGAATTTGACTTGGAAAAGGTTGAATTTGACTTGGAAATAATTGAATATCACACAGAAATATCACACTGAAAAAATCTAAAATGTTAAAATAAATGGATATGCAACTGCGTAATCAATTTTTTTTTTGTATTTTTTAAAAGCTATGCCTTCGATAATATAGTAAGTGGCCTTCATTTCGAAAAAAATCGAAAATTGACAAAAAATCGAAAGTTGAATTTGAAATGGAAAAGGTTGAATTTGACTTGGAAAAAGTTTAATTTGAAATGGAAAAGGTTTAATTTGACTTGGAAAAGGTTGAATTTGATTTGGAAAAGGTTGAAATTGACTTGGAAATGCTATATAATATTTACAGGCTAAGATATGTTATAGTAATTCGAAAACATGTTTAATTTATAAAAATATGAATGAATTGACCATAATTAAATATTATAAACATTACATTGGATACTTAGTATTTTATAATGTATTTTATATATATTTATTATATCTTTCAGTATTTTAGAAGTGATTTTAAGTTAAGCAATACAAAGTTTTATTGTTGTGATCAGCTTATTAGTTGACTTTAAAGTTTGATTTCACCTTTGCATTTTCTTGGTATTTGAAATTTGTAAGTAATTGATTGGATGTAGGACCAACAAGAAGGGGCAAGTTATTCCATATCCCCAGGGTCCAAGTTCTAAAGGTCTGGCCTGGTCTATAAAGTTTTATTTTTAATTACTAAATTTATTTTAAAATGAACTATTGATAGCATTACATGTATTATATAATAATTATGTAATATCTTTACATATTTTTTTGCAAAAATATGATTATAAAATATGAGGTTGGATTTTAATGGTAAATTTAATACTTGATGGAGCCTTGAAAAATTATCCTTGGGACCCTTGGTTTCTCTCTATGGCCCTTGTGGATTTAAAAGCACCATTAATTTACTGTATCATAAACTGGCTGTGTACTGGACCTGAAATACCTGGATAAGGTAGGAATTTTTTTGAATTTAAAAAAGTTAAGGAACTATTTGAAAAAACACTGAAACTCGGGGTATTTTACAATAAGATTCATCATCACTATTTGTCAAAATAAGTACACATTTATTGAGTTTTTGTGTGTTTTGCCCTAATTCACAGAATTTAAATTTTGAAAAAAAAACTTTTATTTCACAGTAAGGCATATACTATTTGTTCAATAATATTATCCTTCAAGGCACTGTTATAAGATAAAAATTATTAATGATGTAGAGATGGTTGACCGTTGATATAATATGAGAAGGAGTTAGTCGAGGGTGCGGTCAAATAAATAAAAAATTAAAATATATTAATTATTTTAATTTTTGCCGACATTTCGACCCACTTTGCAGATCGTCTTCAGGGCGTAGGATGTGGCACGCGGGAGGCAGTTGAAACACTGCTTTTTTTCTCAGTGTTTCAACTGCCTCCCGCAGTGCCACATCCTACGCCCTGAAGACCATCTGCAAAGTGGGTCGAAACGTCGGCAAAAATGAAAATAATTAATATATTTTAATTTTTTATTTATTTGACCGCACCCTCGACTAACTCCTTCTCATAAAAATTATTTAAAAAAAGTTAACTTGTGTGCTTGATGGTTGTGCTTTTACCCATCGATATAACCTCTTTTAGTTTGTATTATTCTTTAAAATGTATTTATATGGTTAAATAAGCAAGAACATCTTTGTACCCATTTTCTTTTATCCTCTTCTTTTTTTCTCAGTTGGGAGAGGAAAATCTCAGTGAGTAAGGCACTGTGCTCTAGAGTCCCACCGTGGCAGGTAGTTATTTAATCTGTTTCATGAGCTGTGGATCCGCTCTCTTGTCGGGATACCTTCCTTGGATTTATCTAGCCTCTATAAAGTTGTTGTTCTTTATTAAATGATGAATTAAGAGGAAAAACTAATGTTTGGAGTTGATCTTGGTCTAATCCTTGGACATCCGTTAACCAAGAAACAGTACTTCCTTACAAAGTACTAAATCACAGACCCTGAGTTGTAGCAGTACAGGTTTTTTTTCTTCTTAGCAGATAGGCTATAAAATTTAATAGTTTTAATTATGAATTTGGATCCATAAAAGCCTAAATAATCCTCTTGGGCAAGTTATAAGTAATAATAATTTAATCTGTTATAATTATATATTTATTTTTTTATTTTAGAAAAAAATTGCTGAAAATATTGTACTGGAGCAAGGAAAAACGTTTCCTGATGCTGAAGGAGATGTGCTAAGAGGGTTGCGTAAGTTGAATCTATTTTTATTTTTTATACCTTTATTTTTGTGCTTGTATATGCCCACTTCTTACAAAAATATATAGTAATAGTTTTAGAGAGGAATAAATCTCCTATTTGTTCAATTCAGGAGCTTGCTATCAAAAGAGGACATCTCCATGTACACATTTGTTTGACAAGGAACAGTAATTTCTCTAATTGAAGATGTATGGTTGCTTGAATAAATAATCTTTCCATTCACTTTTTTGTGAAAAAAAAAAACACTTACTGTAGAAGCGGAACTCACATTAAGTACAACAATAAGAAACTACCAGACCTAACTAAATTTCAGTTATGGCAGCAAGCTTCTCAATTGTTATAAAGTCAAAATTTTTATGAGCTAAAGTAGACCCATGTATCATACAAACTAGGTAGAGGTATGAATTCTTCAATTCGTGTTAAGAAATTCATGTTTAACAAAAATTCACTTACAAGGAATAATTTTTTCTTATATTATTGATTAAAATTTTCTATAATTTCAGTTGCTGTTCCTGAGTCTTTGTAAGTGTCCAAGTTTTGGCGCCGTATGTTAAGACATGTCGAATCACAGTTTTATATATTCTGACCTTTGAGGATTTTGACAACTTTCTAGACCACAGTCGTTTTTGAAGTGCAGAGGAACACCGGTTAGCAGGCATAATACCTCTGTCCATCTCTTCCCCAATATCATTCCGGGAGTTCATTTGGGAGCCTAGGTAGACAAATTCTCGTACCACTTCTATTTTGTGTGAACCCAATTAAAAAAAGCCTTCCCGGATAGCATGCTTTGGTTTTGCACTCATATACTTTGTTTTATCCGTGTTTCTTAGGAACCCCATGCGTGCTGCTGCTATTACCAAATGTTCGATATAACTGTTCAAATCTTAATCTGGATTCATCACTCTTGTTTTTTTAGATAATACTTGGATCTCATCACTCATACAGGCTTTGAAGTTACAAAGCTAATAAAAACAAATTATAGCATAATTGGAGAAGATGCATACATGTAGCAGCTTCAGTAAAAGAATTATTGTATTCTAATTAACTTTTCAATTTTTCTAGAGGTTGTTGAGTTTGCATGCAGTATGCCTGGTAATATGCGTGGCCACACTCTCTATGATGTTGCAAAAGATATGGATATAATCTCCTACCGTGTTCCGCTTGGAGTAACAGCTGGAATTTGTCCATTTAATTTTCCTGCAATGGTTCCACTTTGGACTATTCCTGTAGCTGTGACGTGTGGAAATACCCATATCATAAAGGTAGCTCATTTAGTTTAAATAAGTTAAATAATTATTCTATCACGTTTATAACATAAAGTTTATTGTTGAGTGAAAGCGGCAAGCCATAGAAAACAATTGGCACCAGCTATGGCCACCCTTGCAATTCCTTATATTTAGTAGTTCCATTTTGCAAAAAATTCAGTAGTCTGTTTTATTATTGTTTTCAATATTTTTGTGGTACTGAACCTGAATTAGGTGTTACTTGACAACATTTCCTGGTGTTTTGATATATTTACTGAAAAACAGCAAAATATTTACTTTTATTTTTCTCTTATAATTTCAAGAGTATGTGTGACAGCTAAAAAATTCATTCTTTCATTCAAAATCATTTTTTGAAGTTGACTAAGTAAACCGCAATTTAAAATCTCACTTTATTTTATTCATAATTGGATGAATCATAATTTGTAAGAAACTAAAAAATGAGAAATTGACATTTTCGGATGATTCAATGTAAATTAATTTTTGAATTTTTAATAACATATCAGCTCCTTTCTAAGTTATAGTATCTTCACAGTATTATCTTCTAAGAATCTAACATTTTTATTTATTTTCATTCTGCCATATATTTATTTTTTTTTTAGTCATCTATTCTGTAAAATGAGAAAGTCGTTTTTATATTTTTTATAATATAATTCTAATCTCTTCAAAACTTTTATAGTTGAAACAAACCTTAGACGTTGATGACCTGAGCATTTTATGAAAGAAACTTTAATAATTCACTCGAGAAGAGAAAATCTCATCCCAAAAATTTTGTTTGGGTTGATAAGATTTCAAACAAAAAAGATCAAAACTATTTTTTATTTAACTAATATTTGACCAACGATATTATGTTCTATGTTTTAAAATGTAAAATTAATTCTTAAGTTATCTCGTATATAACCATACATTAATTTAAAGTCGTCACATACAGAAGCAGAACAATTTGATGGAGTAACTGAACTATAGAACCATTGATGAAATGAATGAAAGAATTGAGAATTCTTATAACTGCTCAAAACAAGATCTCTCTCTCCATTGAAAAATAAATTTTACGAGTTTGAAATGCGGGTACAGTAGATTGCAATTAATGTTTTTCTCTCCTAAATTTTATTGTTTAAATCATCTTCTTCTAGATTTAACTTTGATTTGATTTTTCCCTCCTGAATTATATTATTTAAACAATCTTCTTCTAGATTTGATTTTGTTTTACACACTTACTGTACTGTAATTATTGAAACTTTTGTTTTATTATAGCCATCTGAACAAGATCCTGGAGCATGTATGATGTTGATGGAAATGCTTGCTGAAGCTGGACTTCCTCCTGGTGTCGTAAATGTAATACATGGACAGCACGATGCAGTGAATTTTATTATAGATGCACCTGATATCAAAACTATATCATTCGTTGGGGGTGACAAAGCGGTAAGTTTTTGGTTTTTCTGTTGCTTTTTTTAAATACTTTATTATTTTAATCAAACCAAATGATTTAACAACTGCATTAATATTTTGTTTATTATTCTTGTTTATCAACAACACTTTTTTTATTGATTTCTGAAGTGCCTTTGACAATTTTAAAAGTCCTATACTACATGCAGCGTTGTTTGAAATTAGAATACCTCCAAAACTTGTTCATCTGATAAAAATGACTGTGGTGATGTAATGTGCTTCATTGGAATAAAGTAAGACCTATCCTCATCATTTGTTTCCACAAGAGAAGTTACAGAGGATGATGGACTTGCCTGTCTACTATTTAATTTGGATCTGGAAAAGCTTGTAAGAGATTAGGGAATGCAGACAAATGACACCAATTTCTATCGGATTGTACTTGCTTTTGCAAATGACCTTGACTTAGTTGTACAAACTTTTAAAGTTCTTTTTGAGCTTTAAAGTTCTTCGAAGCAGTTAAAGCTATGGAAGTCATATCAAGAGAAACCAAATACAAGCTTACAAGACCTGGAACAGAGATCTGAGATAGTTCAGGAATCGGTTGAATTGGGTTCATTTACATTTCAGAATGTGGATCATTTTGTCTTTCTGGGCCCAGTCGTAAGTTGTACATATAGAATATCACTTGAAACCTGACTGCTAATCATGAAGGCAAACAGGGTTTTGAAAGAAACAAGTTTTGATTTTCACACAAATATGACAAGCAGCCACAGATCATTTAACTTGGCTGCTTGTGATATTTGTGCCAAAATTAAACCTTGTTTCTTTCGTAAACCATCAACTTAATCAAGGCTAGCACTCCTTTTGAAAAACTCAACGTGGACTTCAAGAGTTCTATTGGCCCATCCTCCAAGAATAAGTACATTTGGGCTGTTGTTGATGAGTATTAAGATATCGTTTTGCGATTCCCCTGTTGTGATATAGCAATTCTTTGGTCTATTATATTTTCATGAATATTCTCTGTTGTTGTGTAATTTATTTATTATTAATTGGTATGATTTTAAAATAGTGTACATTAGATTATTTACTTTGACTATTTAATTCAAAACCTGAAGATTTAAAAAAATAAAATTGTTATATATTAGTCCCTCCTTTAATAATTTTATTTATTTTATGGCAGGGTAGATACATTTATGAAAAGGGCTCAAAGAACGGAAAACGTGTTCAATGCAACATGGGTGCCAAAAACCATGGAGTTATCCTTCCTGATGCTGACAAAGAAAACACTATCAAGCAGATAGTAGGAGCAGCATTTGGAGCAGCAGGCCAGAGGTGTATGGCATTGAGTGTTGCAATATTTGTTGGAGAAGCAAAGAACTGGCTCCCAGATCTAAAGGCTAATGCTGAAAAACTGAAAGTTAATTTTGGTAAAGGATTTTTTTAAAAATTTGTTGAAGCATTAAGTTTATAAATATATATATATATATATATTTTTTTTTTTTCGGACAAGGGTGTAAACTTTTATTTTATTTTGACTTTCTAAAATTAGTTTACTTTTTTGGTTTATTATCTTTAATAATGCACGTATTCGAGTCTCACCCCATCAATATTTCAACTTTTACATATCAAGATACATTGAGTCCAAAAGTCAAATTAAAAAAAGTCCAATTTAAAAGAAAATGGCGGTTGGTGATGTTGAGTTAAAAAGATTCTTCTGGGATGACCTCTTACAGTGCCTAACCTACTGGCCCAATGTTCTTCGAGAAAACTGTGTAAAGTGATCAAATGGTTTATATTCTAGTGTGATCCTATGATTCAATGATTCTAATATTTTGTGATATAGAAACTGACATTTTTGAGAAAGGTTCAAAACAATTTTTTTTTTTTTACTTGATTACAAGGTTTCATTTTTGAAAATGATAAACCAAAATTAAATAGGTTGTATTGATTGTTTTATGTTTTTGTTTATTTATGCTTTATATCACACATCAAATTTCTTAATTAAACTAGCAATTGCGAAATTACTGCAGGCTGAAAAGTTTTGCTACAGAACCTAAGTGTTTCTGCTTTAAAATTATTTGGTAATAGAATGTACTTACACACTTTGTGAGAATAGAAGGAGAACAATTCAAAATAGCAATTGAATGATAGTTAGAATCCTGTAATTTCAAACAGCAGACAGTTGTCAAGTACCAAGCTGAACCAATAGATTGTTTTGATCATATATACCAGCAACATGTATTACTGTTATTATTCTGCGTAGAACTTATCCTTACCTAAAATTTGTTGTTACAAAAACATGTTTTTTGAGTTACTTATATTTCTGGAACTTGATATATTTATAAGTTTTTACAACATTATTATTGTAATTCTTTTATTGATTTTTTAAAAATCAGGTATGGTGGCTGGTACTGATTTTGGACCTGTGATAAGTCCAGAGTCTAAGAACAGAATATGCTCTTTGATTGATTCTGGGATTAAAGAAGGTGCTGGAATTCTGCTTGATGGTCGTGGGCTTGTGGTTCCTGGTTTTGAAAAAGGCAACTTTCTTGGACCCTCCATATTGACAGATGTTACTGTAAGTAGATATAAATACGGACTTAATTTCTTTCTATATTTTTTATTTATTCAACACCTACTCCTGACATTAAATCTTAACTTATGCTAGAATTAATTAATTGAAATTAAAGTTTCATAGGTTTGTGAATTTCAAATTATCATGAATAAATGTATCTATACATTTGTCTAAAAGAAAAATAACACTCACTCACTCACTGTGTAATCATCGAAAAGATAGCTGATAACTCCTTGGGCTCTTAGGTCTTGAGTGAGTGTATTAATGGATTAATATTAGTTTGGGGATAGCTGGTTTAATTCTTTAATTATTAAACTGGAGGAGTGTTTTCCAGTAGGAGAAGCTAATCACATAATAGTAAATTGTTGATTTAACAGTCTTGGTGAAGTATGAAGCTTCACCAATTTGTATGTGTTGAATAGACTATCTTGATAATATTATATATTTTTTATTTTTGCCAACGTTTCAACCCAAACATGTGGGTCATCTTCAGGGCGTGGTTTGAGCACTGAGGTTGTTCATGTACTGTTATCATGGGTGATAATTATTCAGGACGCAGTCTTTTTTAAAATTTTTTTTATTTTTGCCAACGTTTCAACCCAAACATGTGGGTCATCTTCAGGGCGTGGTTTGAGCACTGAGGTTGTTCATGTACTCCAACCTCAGTACATGAACAACCTCAGTGCTCAAACCACGCCCTGAAGATGACCCACATGTTTGCAAAAATAAATTTTTTTTTAAAAAAGACTGCGTCCTGAATATTTATCACCCATGATAATATTATAGTGTATATACAAATAAACATGTTTATCTGATGTCGCTTTCACTTCAAATGCATTAGGGAGAAAGATAGATTTCTAATGTGGGAGCTCATGCTGGGGTGTACTAGTTAAAAAAAATTGTTAAATTAAAATGATGAAAGATTTTTATAATTAACATAAAAAGAAATGAGCGTTAGTCAGATGGGATCAAGAATGAATAAAGGCACTGGGAAAGCTCTAGCATGGTTGAAAGTTTACGATTGCTTTGGAACTTGTATAGAGGGTGATAAGTGAAACTTATGTAATGAGCTTACCGCATCGAATTTCTCTATGTTTATTTAATGTTATTGTCGCTACTACTTCAGGTCAATGACAATACTTTTATTTATGTATCATATTTTAATATGGTCATTGTTAGTGACTACAGATGGGTTCATGTTTTCTTTCATCTGATTTGGACGTGTGAGTCCTGTCAATGGTTGTTCGTCCATGGCATCTTCACCCTCAGTATTGGTTTATAGTGGGCCATACACTCACCGTGCACTCCCTCCACATCGCTATAAATTATATAACATTGTATTCCTTGCAACTATTTATTAAAAAAATAGTCAATGTTCTCAAAAAAAAAAAAAAAAAATGAACACACTGTTCAACATGGCAGATTGATTACTTTATGTGTAGCGACACTTAAAATTCAATTATTAAATAAATGAGAAACAAATATATATATATTTTTCAATTAACATGATTTTTCATGTTTCAAATATTCAGGAACTGTTTCAAATATTTTAATCATTAATCACTGATTTGGAAAGAGAAATGTATTGTCCAGAAATTTTATTTCAAGGCATTTTTCGTTATCGTTGGTCTGTTTATTTACAAATGATAAAATCATACAAAATCATGTCCCTAGGAGATTTTGCCTTCAGTGCAAAATTTCTTATGTGCTGACTGACACTACAGTGAACCATTCACAGCTTTGGAGTTCAATTATTTTTATCTTAGTAAGAAATTAGTTTTCACAGTTAAATTTAAATTCAAATCATCATTTGATGGCGAATAACTTTCTTTTTCTGCTATTATCAAGTTATTTATTTTTTATATTAGAGAAATTAGGCCCTGGTAATGTGAGCTATTATGTTTTATTAGAAATAATGGGATCAGTCATCAACACAAAAAAAAAGATAATATCTCTGCCATAGGTTTCATCAAATTTCCTCGCGAGTATTTAAAAAGTATGCAAATTTTTTCTAAGGTTTATATATTTATCTTTACGGTTAGCAAACTGCAGGAGGTTCCTATCAAACTGAAGATAATATGATTTTCTCTTATCTTCAGTTTTAATGTTCTCTAGTTAATTTTTTATTGCTAGTGTTAGTATCTTATCATTTTTAATTCTATTTCCCTTACACGTTTATTTTTGCAAGAAGGTATGTTTGATTCATGTTATTTCTTATGCATTAATACATGTTTCGTAAGGGGTTCAGTGCTCCTGCTTTTGTTTCTGCTATCAAATGCAGGGGAATGGTTTAATTAATAAAACTTCAAATTTATATTTTTCTCTTCTAATTTCCTCATTTCACCAAAAGCTATAAAAATCCATTTAATTTGATCTAGATCTTTAGGAGCCCTGGGTGATATGATGTTGGGGAACTCATTTGGTAAGATGGGTAATATGAAAAGAAAAAGTAAAATATATATATATATATATATATATATTTTTTTTTTTTTTTTTTTTTTTTTTTTTTTTTTTTTTTTTTTTTTTTTTTTTTGACTGATCACCACAACCATCTTTTATTATTCACTACGGTCGACCATCAATCCACAATTAAAAAAATTAATAGTTACTCTTAAAACAATCATCAATCCAGCTTATAACTTTGAATTGTATTGAGGTTATTAATTTGTCTGTGATGTATGAATCATTTGATTCTTGTGAATATAGCATGATACCCAAGGTGGTAGCCCCCTTGTCTGACCCTTTTAAATTTACCCTTCTACGTAAGAAAAATAGATTAAGCAGTGACCAAAATATAACCTAGTTATTAATATAGGTTTAAAAAGCTGAAAGATTCTTTAACTAAAAAAAATATTACACTTTCCTTTTATTTTGTGTGGAATTTGAATCTCTTAAGATCATATGAAATTTGCAGAATGATCTGTGTTTTATTTTTACAAATTATTTTTATAAATAATAAAAGATAAATACCAAAATAAGAAAATTCAAAAATTGCCACTTTAATAAATTGGAAATTCTTCTTTTTCTAGCTACTCTATCCTATAAATAAATTTTAATTATAATAACTTAATTTGACTACATTTTAAGAGGTTGTTAATTCAGACTTGTCTTGATTTCAGTGAAGATCACTATAGAAAAACAGCTATGCATGAAATTTGAGCTCTGCTATTTTTTTATCTATCATGCTTGAATATGAAAAATGTTTTTTCAAGTATTGAAAACTGATTTTATTTTTTGGCATTGATTGATTTCTATGTTTAATTATAAAGACATTAAAATATTTGATCATTGAAAATTATTAAAAACAGATTTTTTTTTCTTCCTCTGATTAAATAAACCTATTATTGTATAATAGTTCTTGTCACGATTACTTATTCAGTTTCGATCTTGCTATGAGTATTCTTTTTAATTTCTTACAGACTTCCATGAAATGCTACACTGAAGAAATATTTGGTCCTGTACTCGTTACAATGTGCGTTGACACGTTAGATGATGCCATTAAAATAATTAATCAAAATCCTTATGGAAATGGAACTGGTCTTTTTACTAGAAGTGGAGCAGCTGCTAGAAAGTTTACTCATGGAATTGAAGTTGGTCAGGTAATTAAGACAGAATTTTTTATATTTTTATTATTTTAATTTTATCCTCACTGTTTATTGTAAAGTGGAAAAAAATATAAACTTAATTATGTCCACTTTTGGTAGAAGAAAACTCGGCAATAACAGAATTCAACTTGTACGATAAATTAATGAATGAATGAAAAAGTAATTTTATTTTAGGGGTACAGTCCCCTAAGAATTATAACAGTGATCCATAATTATGAACATTAGTGTGGCTTAGAGTATACAAAACGATACTTAATTGCACAATTGATTAAATTACACAGTGTACAGAAGCAAGTAGATTTTACATGTCTACGGAAGTTTGAATATGAAATAGGTGGTGGTATAGAAGTTGTTTAAAGGAATTTGTGAGCAAGGATTGACATAAGGGGGTTAGTAGAGAGTTCCAAAAGCAGGTAGCCCCAGCGATGAAGGATTTGCTGATGATAATCTTAATCTTTCAAATAATCATGAATGCAATCAACAATAAAATGTATACTTTTTGAATTTTTCACTAATATAGTTTATTTTCCCTCATAACTTTTTTTCCTGAAATTTTGGAAGGACCTTCAGATATTCCTTGGAGGACCTTCCTAGGACCTTAGGATCTTCTGATCTAGATCCATCGTGTTTAGTCAAGAGCAGGCTGTTGGTGTTCACCACGCACGGACGGTCTTGGGTTTATAGCGTTCTCAAGATCTCTGCCTAGGCCTCACAGATCTCTCAGCTACTTTCCTGCAGCTGGGTGAGGGCCAGTGCATAAGTCAACCCTGTGCTAGGCTACTACCCCTTCCCAATCCCTTGACCCCACTAAGGTTTTTGACATGAAAATACCGATAACAACTTTTTTTTTTTTTAACTTAGTATAGTAGTTAGAACTTTTATATGAATGTGTTACTGGTATGGTATTTATAGTGTGTGGAATAATTCTGGCTCGTGGAATTTCTGTCATTTTCACCTGCCCCGAAAATACCAATGGAAACCTGTAATTCCTCTTTATCAAATCTTTTAGTTTATCCTAATTTATTCCAAAGTACACTGCTATTGACTGGGGAAAGCCTTGTGTTTCTAGATTCTATCTATGCCTATCTTGGCTATATCTTAGTGATGTATATAAGTCACAATCTGCTGTGTTATGCATATTTTATACAACATTAGTATCATTTACTAATGGGATACTTATAATAATTTGTGACTCTATAAAGGAACCTGTTCCACTTAAGTCAGTTGAGTTTTTGGTGGATCTGTATTTAAAACAGGAAAGATTGCATCTCAGATTTTTTCTGAACATTGTGACCATTCCCAAGGTCTGTAGCTGATTTTAGAATCAAAAGTAGCTCCTTTTCCTCCACTTAGACTGTATGATTGATTACGTGATGGCTGAGTACGTTGCGGCGTGGATTCCACAGTGATTGGTTCTGAACATTGTGGGTTTGATTCGCACCTGGGTTGGTTAATATTTATTTGGCCACAAGATATGAATCTTGACACACCCACTCTAGTAAGTATGCTGCAGCCACTTCAAGGTAGCCACCAGGGGGTTGGCAAAAAGGACCACAACAAGGCCCGCTTGCCAGCCTAGTGGCCCTCACCAGTAGCAGTATCAGTAAGCTGAATGATAGTAGGTCGGTAGATACTTCTATCTTTTTACATTTAATTGTTGAGTTGGCCATATTCACTTCACCTTTTTTTATATGATATAAAAAAATTAAAGAAAATTTTACCGATCATATAAATAATTAAATTGTATTATTTTTATTTTTTAGATTGGCATTAATGTTCCTATTCCTGTACCTCTTCCAATGTTTTCATTTACGGGTACTAAAGGTTCCTTTGTTGGGGACACACACTTCTACGGTTTGCAGGTAAGTTGAATCTGATAAAAAAAATATCTTCCACCAAGTATGAATATCTTATAAAAAAACAAAATCTTGTAAGGATGAAATATCATGAACAACTGAAATAGATTTGGTGTAGTAAAAAAAAAAAAAATAGATTGTAAATTGTACAGGTTATAACTTATATTTATTAGAAGCTACGTTCAAGATATATTTATGAAAAATAAATTCACTACATAAATAAAATAAAATATTAAATAATATATGAAATAATTTTAAACAATGCTTCATGAACTTTTATGAGGGGAAATTTGTACTTATGTTACCATGAACACCCCACTTTCAGACTGATTATTTACTTTTCTCTGTGAATTTCTAATATAACCCCAGATAATAATTATTAGTACCTTCTGGTATATTTATAGTATATCATGGAACAACAAAATTAATTCTATAAGTTAAGAGAAAAAATAGTCTAAAAGGCTTTAATAATAAATTATATTGCACATAGTATTATACAACGTATTAGTAATTGGTGGAGGGATGTGGCGACCATATGGCCCAGTCTATAGACTGCCATTAGCCTCTGACCCACCAGATTGGTGAATGAATGAATGAAAAATAATTTTATTCTGGGACTGAAGTCCCCTTAGAATAATAGTAGAGTTCAAAAATATGTACATTTTTTCACTATTCTAAGGTGGAGTAATTACTCTGATGCCCACACAGTACAATGTAAACAGCACACTACAAACATTTCACATTTACAGACAAAGGTCAAATACAGTACACACCCTAGGGTCACCTCCCCTAGGTAGCCGCCCCGAAAAGGGGAAAACATCAGAATATTCCGTTGAGGCAGCCCCTCTACTTGATTCGGTGGCAGAGTCTGGGCTGATAACCGCCTCCCCATAAATTTTAAATATTAAGAAATCCGTACAAAGATATGCTGGACTGATTTTAAGGAAACGACACAATGCATACCTAATGAACTTTCAACTAAGAACATGGAATTATCTCTCTCTTCACTGACCGGGAGCACTAGAACAGCTCCTCATGCAATTAGACCATACAAACTGGGTCTCACTGCTATCCAAAAGGTAAGATGAATATGGAATTCTCTAAGCAAATGGCAATGTAATTGAAGAGAAAAGCCTAGTCATAGACAGATGGGCCGAGCATTTTGATGAGTTACTGGATAAGAGTGAAGATGAAGAAAACAATGCTGGAGTATTGGTCCCAAACGACACTGACATTGAGCCACCTGATATAGAAGACGTAACTGAAACGATACAAAAGCTAAAAAATGATTAAGTATCAGGCGAAGATTTAATAATAGCCAAATTCTTTAAAGGTAGTAGCGAGAATATGCTCACACATCTATATAATTTGGTCTTGGACATATGGATGAATGAAAACATGCCTCAAGAGTGGGGAACTAGTTTGATTTGTCCCATCTTTAAAAAGGGAGATAAACTGCAATGCAGAAATTACAGAGGAATATCCCTCTTGCAGGTAGCATACAAAATATTCTCAAATATTATCCTGAAGAAACTAAATGTCTACGCTGAACACATTCTAGGAGAATATCAGTGTGAGTTACGTAAAGGAAAATGGACAGTCGATCAAATTTTTTTAATGAGACAAATATTAGAAAAGTTTTGGGAGTACAAAACTACAATTCATGTTCTTTTCATTGATTATCACCAAACCTTCGACAGTATTAATAGGACCAACTTGATTAAAGCACTAATAGAACACAACGTTCCGAAAAAGATGATAAGATTGATCCAGATGACTCTAAGCAATAGCAATGCCAAAGTTATTGCCAATGGTTGTGTAAGTAATACATTTACAATATCAACCGGTGTAAGGCAAGAAGATGCTCTATCTGCCACTCTCTTCAACTTTGTGTTACATAAAGTAGTTAATAGAATAAATACACAGGGAAATATATTTCATTCAAGCATTCAAATCTGTGCATATGCAGATGATATAGCTCTTGTTGCTAGAAGGATTCAAACCCTTAGTAAAATTTTTAATATTAATTATGCTGTAATTAAAATTATGGCTCCTGAAATAAATGATTTAAAAACTAAGTATATGTCCATTGCTTCAGAAAATTCCCATAACCTTGTGGTGGAAAGATACGTTTTCGAAAACGTCAATACCTTTACCTATCTAGGTGCAGAAATAAATAATGAAAATAGAATTATGACTGAGGTGCAAGGAAGGATAATGACCGCTAACCGTGCGTAGTTCGTGAATTTAAAGCTTTTTAAATCATCCTTGATATCAAGGAAAACTAAAATAAGGCTATGCACTTCCTTAATAAGACCCATACTTACTTACTCGGCTGAAGCATGGACGATTACTGGCACCATGACAAATTCGTTAAAGGTCTTTGTGAAAAAGATCCTGAGAAAAATATTTGACCCCTTGTTCGATTAAACAGCCCAAGCACGAAGGATTAGAACCAATATGGAGCTACATGATTAATTCAATCATTGTGAAATTGTGAACTTTATAAAATCACGGCGGATAGAATGGTTGGGGCACTTTATTAGAATGCCTGATGAGAGGATCCCAAAAAAGATGCTCAAAGGAAAAATTTATGGTGTCAGAGGAAGGGGAAGGCTGAAATGAATTTATTTAATTATCTTGAGCAGTTTTTGAACGATTCCTTTTTATTTAAAAAACAAAATGTGAACTTCCTTAGAAAAACACAAAATTCTTCTTAACTCCTTTGGGAAATTTTTTGTTGGAAATTTTGTCTAGAATCATCCCCCAGAGTTTGGGCATTAAGAACTGAGATACCCTTTATAACTGAAACTTTTTTTAGAACTTCTTGAAGAAATGTGTAGAACTTAATTTCTACACTCCACTGTAAAAAGATGATGCTATACCTGCCTGTGAGATGTTTGTTCAATGCTTATGATTGACATAACACTTATTTTGTAATTTTTAAAAGATAAAAAATGGCATTTATTTCTTATCTCATGAAAAATTGTGATAGTTAATGACCCCAAAGAAGTATTATTTTATAAATGGAATTTTAACTTAATTAAATAATTATATATTTTATATTGGTATAAATTTTATAGTCTTAATATATTAATTTTGATACGCTATTTATAACGATTAAAAAATACATTTAATATTTACAGGGAGTTCATTTCTTCACACAAGAAAAAACTGTGACACAACTCTGGAGGGAATCTGATGTACTTTCGAGTGATTCTGCTATGTCAATGCCAGTTATGAAGTAATTTTATTTTTAAGTTGGATGTTTTTGATTCTTTCAATGGAAATTTCATTTGTCCATAGTTTTATTTTTGCTATGGATGGGACGAAAGGAAAAAAATAAAGAAAATAATATGTCATGAAACAACCCCGGCATATTTAAAAAAAAAAATTTAAACATATCTTCTATTGTTGATATATTGTATTATAATATCAGAACATTTAGAATGGAAGAGGCATAACTTTAAATTTCAGATGGGAAAATACTAGACAAATAGGTCATATACCAACATGTGTTAAAGGAAATACGCTGAGGGTTTCTATATAGGACACATTAAAAAAAAGAACATTATTGAGTTATGTTCTTTCATTCTGGATGTACAATATTGGAATAATATTGATCGAATATTACTATTTCTAATGATGTACAGTAACTCTCATTACTATTCTGTTTGTTACCAGGTTTTAAAAAAAATAACCATGTTTCCTACTCATTTATTCCTGATAGGAATTTAAAGACAAAGATCTGTTGATTCATTATAAATGTGTAATAATCAAACAATATTTACGGTTAATGTTATATTTATCAGAAATAGATATTCATAAAATTCTTCATGATTTTAATGAAAAAAAACAATCATGTTAATCTGTGATAGAGTGCTTCCACAATGAAATGTTGTTTTTAATAAATATTATTTTTTTAGGAGCAAAGTATACCTACCTATAATAAATTCATTATATTTTTGTTGAATTGAAAATACATATAATAATGATGTATACGTAGTGTTATTTGTATTTTCCTTGTTTCATGAATACTGCTTTGTTTCAAGATTTAATAGAGGCACTTACATTGAAAAGTGGGTAAGTAATCAAATGAAATTGTTTATTTGGAAAAACAAATATATAATGGAGATGATGATTCCTCTCTCCTCTCTGAAATATCTGTATTAACTTTGAAATTCAAACTTTATCAATATTAAACTCCAAATTTAAAATTATTATCATTAGAATAAAATAAAATAAAGCTATTATTATAAAACCAAACAATGTCATGATTAAACTCTTTTTTTTTATTTTATTATTTCTTAATGATATTTCCAGCTGTATTAAAGAAATACATTCAGTAAATTTGAACATATGGATATAATGACGTGAAAACCCTTGTTGAGTAACTACCCAATGGTAGCACTCTAAAGGATTAAACTCAAAACATTAAATTTATTATTTACAAAGTTTGTCGTAAAAACTGTGAACATCTGCAGTAAATAATTTTTTTTTTTACTTGATTAATCTCTGGAGTTTTAACATTTGGTACAAGTTTTAAACTGATTTTTTTTGGCTATTGTTTCCTTATAAGTTATTTTCATTGTGATATATGGAAGATCAAAATTATATACAAAATTTTGGTGGTGAATACAGAATTTATCAGAAATGTCTGATAATTTCTATTAGATACTGAGTAAAAATTTGAGAAATATAAAAAAAATCATCTTATACCATTGGAATTATCTGTTTTGGATTTGCCTTTTTTAAAATTGTGCAATGTTAACATCTGTTCCTCCATTACTAGTGGATCTATGACAAGGGTGGAGAAGCTGAGGTAGGAAGACAGGAGGAGAAACTTTCGACGAGCTGAAGCCCCTCAAAAAAATAATTTTTTTTCATTGATCTATTTTTATTTATGTGAGTGAGCTAAACTAACCTAGGCTAATATAATTTAAATAATTACAATATCCCCTCTTTTTAAATTATAATGCATTTATAGCTATAAATTTAAAGTATGTGTCAGGAAAAAAAGTATCTCAAAGCATTATTGTTCAGACCTTTAAGGACCACTTAAAAATCACTTTATAAATGGTTTTTTTTTTCTTTTTATTCCAATGTAATAATCATAATAAAAAATAAAATAAAAATCCTGAATCAGCTACTGCCAACCAGTAAAACATCATTATTTAATTAGGTGAAAGTCCTTGCTTCCGTGCATTATAGCAGACCTGATAAATGTTTTACATAGGTCCATTTTTGTCTCCTTAGAGTGTTTGGAATGAAGATTCAGATCATAAACACATCTTATGCTTACTGTCAAATTGCTGTAATCTCTACTTGTAGTTATTCTATTCCAGTGTCTTGTCTTTGCCAGTTTCTCCAATGATCTAAAACACTTCGTTCAATGATTTAGAAATCTTCGTTAGTTCTTTCTAGGGATGATCATTAACATATTCTGTATGATAACTAAGTCTATTATGATTGTCTATTAGTTCAATTATTTAAACAACATCTCATAGCTCTGGGATAACAAACGAGTCTCTCTAATCTTATTCTACTTTAGTTAGCTCAAAACATTCTGAAATCCCTACTAATATTCTACTTTTTTGGATGATTGACTATCAATTGGTTTTAGTTTTAAGTGGAGGGGAGTAGTTCAGTGATTATGGTACTTTTTTTATGCTCTGTGGCCAAGTTGAGTTGTGATTGGTAATTATTGGGTTGTCCGCAAATAATGCAGGATTTTGAGTTTTATTTAAAATACCCCTCTATATTACAAACTGTTTATGTTTACTGGATTATTAGTATGAATGTCTACACTTATTAATCCTCTTCCAAAAGATAATGTTTGTTTACCTCTGCATCATTTTGCTGCTTAGAAATAATTCAGTCTTTCCTAAGATGTCAACGCGTGGTTTTCGTATAATTTTGTTTTATGAGTTTAAACTCGACCGAAATGTAGCCCAGACTGCCAGAAACATCAATAAAGTCCTGATGCGAAAGCAGCATCAATGAATAAACTGTTCAACAGTGGTTCAGAAAATTACGGTAAGGAGACTTCAACCTTGGAGACAAAGAAGGTCGTGAAGAACTTCCTCTCTTGATGACGATGTTCTGCGGGCTTTGGTGAAAAGAACAAGTGTTCAGGAACTTACAGGGAAACTTAATCTTATCAAATCGACCATCGATGACCACCTCAAGGGGATTGGAAAGGTAAAAAAGCTTGAAAGTTGGGTTTTACACACATTAAACGACCGCCAAAAAAAACCAGCGTTATGAAGTTTGTGCTACGCTCCTTTGCCGAAACAAAATTGACCCTTTTCTATCCAGAATTGTTACTTGCCATGAAAAGTGGATACTTCATGATAGCAGTAGACATTCTGGACGGTGGCTCGACAAAGAACAAGCAGCAGAACATTTTATAAAGCCCCTAACTCATCAAAAAAAGATGATGATTACTGTTTGGTGGGCTTCATTTGGTTTGATACACTACAGCTTCTTAAATCCTGGAGAAACCATCAATGCTGAATCGTATTGTAACCAAATTAATGCAATGCATCAGAAATTGCCAATAATGAAGCCATATTTGGTCAATTAAAAGAAGCCCATTTTGTTGCCTGACAACGCCCATCCACATGTCTCTTGTGTGATGTCACAAAAACTGTTGGAACATTGTTTTCTGCACTCAATTGTTTTCACCTCCTTTCCCTCTACTTTCATTACCTACTGGCCCACAGATCCTAACCGTAATTCTGATATCTTTGATTTCTTCATCCACAGCAGCTTAGGCCGCCTCGATTGTTCCTCTACACACCTAAATGAACTTTCATCTGACCATAGTTCACTAATTCTCAATGTTTTACTAGAACCCCTACCTAATCCTTCTCCATCGTCATTCATTAGAGGCCCCGTTAACTGGAACTTTTCCGCCAAATCCTTTCTTGATAAAACAGACCTCAAAATATCCATGAAAACTCCGAATGATCTTGACTATGCCGTCAATTCTTTTACTACTCAATCTGTTTGGATTGTCTCTTCCCCAAGAAAATCCCTAAGAATTCCTAAGAATAATAATTTACTACAGCACCCTTTGACCTAATCCATATAAAACGATGCACCAGATCACTGTGGCAAAGTACCAGACATCCCGCTGATCGCCGCTCCTGTAATTACTATTGAAAAAAACTAAAGTGAGAATTAGCCTCCTATTGATCCGAATCATTTAACTCCTACCTATCCTCCCTCTCTGTTCGTGACAATTCCCTTTTGGAAAAATACTAAAACCTCACCACATTTCTCAATTCCTTCTGGCGAGATGACGGCTCTGTGGCAGCATCTGACGAAGATAAAGCTGAGGAGTTTGCCAGACCCCTCTCTACTATATTTATTTCCAATTTGGAATCCCATCACACCCACATCGAAACAGTAGAGAAATTCCTAACAACTATTCCAATTTTCCTATCTCCTAAAGCAGTTCATCCTTCCGAAGTCAAATTTCATTTAAAACAACTAACCCTTCGTAAATCTCCTGGATATGATCCTTCGACAACTTCCATCCAGAGCAGTCATATTCCTCACATATATCTACAATTCCATCCTACGTACCACCATCTTTCCTCTGTTATGGAAACATTCCACTATCATCCTTTTCCCAAAACCAAACAAACCCCAACAGCTTGACATCTTATAGACCAATTAGCCTACTCCAAATCCTTTAAAAAATCTTGGAAAATATCGTTTTGAAATAAATCGTTCCCATCATAGAATCCCAAAATCTTCCTTCATATCAGTTTGGTTTTTGCTCTCAAAGTCTACTGTTCAACAAGAACTCCGAGTTGTTAATCATATTTCAACAGCCTTAGAAAACAAGGGATACTGTTCGAGTGCTTTTCTGGATATAGCACAGGCATTTAACAGGGTATGGCACGTCAGATTGCCGTTCAAGCTTATAGTCCCCCAGCATCCCTAAACCTACAAAGACACATCTCCTTAATAGAGCAATGGTGCAACAATTGGCGCATCAAGATCAATGAATCCAAATGCCAACATATTACTTTTATACTCCGACTCAATTCCTGTCCATCAGCCGTGGATTCCTGTCCGTAAGAGCCACTGGGATCTCCTTTCCTTTTACGAGTGGGTAGAAAGGCCTAACTTGATGTTCTCCTGTGTGAATGGATTATGTGAATATTGTTATTTTGGTTGGTTTATTTTTTTTTAATTATATACATTTACTTTTGGTATTATTATTTGTCTGTAT